ATATAATTTGCTCTTAATAGCAGATAAAACGTTCGTCCAAATAACTGGACGAAAAAAAAAGTGTCTTAGAAGTGACTAAAACTATACGCTAGATAAAAGATTTAATCACGGATGTTTTTTTTTACAACAGAGATATGAACGTGCAATTATATATTTAATTGAAAACAAATCAAGGAATATAACACTCAAGGTCTAATATGCATCTGATACAAAAAAAAATGATTAAGTTTTGTAGCATTGATATTTATGAAAACATCCAAATGTACCTTTTCTCTAGATTCAATAATTTGCAAAGAAATGGAACTTTTACACAGTTATAAAATAGTATCTCAGTAAATGGAGTGAGACGAATTTGACTTTGGATTGCTCTTGGAACAAGCAGTTTTTCTGCCATAAGAAAAAAAAATAAGAAAAGCCCATATACTCATATTATGAATATTTTAAGTAGCAATTAGAGAACTTGCAAATGCAATTTATTTTTGTTAAAAAATGTATGAGACATAACTTGTAATGGAGCACCATTAAAGTTCTTTAGTGGTCTTCAATTAGCACATTAGTGAGGCCATTAACGACTAGGTAGAGAAAATAAAAAACATTGTGAAGTAAATAGTGTGTTTTTCTTTTGGCAAAAATATTATATCGGAAGATTCTAACATATAGCAGTGTTATATTTACATAAAGCCTCTGTTTATTATGTTCTTGTTTCGTTTTTATATATTTCAAACTCATAAATATTATTATTTTGTACCAATATCCTTTTTCGCAACCACGAAAATTGGGTTAACGATGACTACCTGATACACCGTGACAATTTCTCTGGGGTCATTGTTGTGAACCCGCATTTGCCTTTTATAAAAAGTGAAACTATTACAGTCTATATATAAATATTATTTATTCATAACGAGAAACCGGATAATTTTACTATACGGTAAAGTCACGGTGGATCGTCACAATGCCAGAGAAACTTTTATTCCATATGAATCATAAGTAGACCACATTGTTAAACACTGACAACAACGACTGTGTAGAGTGGAACAAATTGTCGCGCAAAATAAAATTGTTTTTTTAAAGAAATATGTAGTGCTATAAGTTGTCGAACGTAAACAAATGCCGTATAGTGTGGATGGTGCATATCGACATCCGAAATCACTTGCCAAACATTCACCAAATCTGTTTATATTTATAGTTTGTACGTAATAGACATATTTACGTTTGACAATGTTGGCGAGTGAACCGTCATTAGCAGTACACTCCTGATTAGAAATTGTTTTCGTCGTAAACACAGTGATTCGTACAGTTTTAGATTTCCCTGGCATTTTAAGGTCAATCTCGGCAGATCTAACTACATCGAGAAAAGAGAAAATTAAATCTGCACAATTTTTAAGCATCTGTTTATCCCAAGCGAACGCGACAAAGTGAAAACATCTCGAGCACACCTACTTTTATTGTACGCGCTAAGTAAGATGCTGCAACCCGCAAATGAAATTTAGAATCAACATTAACAGGTAAGCTAATTAGAAGAAACAATGTGGCGATGACCCTGTTTGCCGACGAAAGCGTGAATCATTTATGAAAGTCGGACGGGATGTTTAACAGGAATACGAGAGAAATTAGAAACATTATTAGAAAACGGAACTCATAAATCTTGCAGTTATACGTATATATTTATATTAGTGAAGAATTGGTGACGTAATCGGTACCACTCTTCACTTTATCAACATGTTGATGAATATTTCGGAGAAAGAACTGCCAAACTTACTTAAAAAAGAATATTGTTCCTTAAGATAATATTTAATAGTGTTGAAGCTAGTCGAAAACTAAATTGTTGGTAATATATCTATTTCTTATACAGTTTTTGTGTTAATATAATGACTCTTCTGATCTTATAGTGTATACGCGCAATTTTAGAAACAAAATTATTTATTTCAAACCTCTGAGGTGAAGTCATGTCTATAATATAAATACAGGCTGATTCAAAATTCAGTACAAAGAATTTAGGTGCGTATTTTTGAGGACAAAATAAGACTTTTTTCTCCTATAAACGTAGGTCCACAAGAAATGCTTAGTTTTCGATATACAGGGTGTTAAAGTTTTTAATTTTTTCAATAAAACTTGCGGTAAGGAGATTTTTTAGAATGCTAAATTTAAATATGTCATTGTTTTGATGTCAAGGACGCCACCTATAAGGGTACGCTTGAATTAAATTGACCCTAACTTTCTTGGTACCATGTACATTGACGTTTCGTATTAGCCCGTTTATTCCCTTACCAATTTTAAGCAATTGTATCCTTGATCGAAATCTCTCAGACCAACCGTTTCCGATATATTGGCTGAAAAGTTAAATGCACACCATATTTTCCAATTTTATAAACTATATTATTATATTTACGGTGAAAAATTTTAAAATTTATTTTCACCATCTAATCAGTAATGCAATGATCTTGAATTGTTGCTCTTTAAATTTTTTTGATACAATTAACCGTTTTCGAGAAAATCAATGCTGACTAAACGGTATTTTGTCTATCAAAATACATAGAGAAAAAATAAACAAGCAGCAAGAAAAAAAGTCTTATTTTGAGCTCAAAAATACGCCACTAAATTCTTTGTACTGAAGTTTGAATAAATCTGTATATTTAGTGATAAAAGTAAGTACTTCCTTCATTGAAAGTTTCAATAGTTTGAGATGGGGCTACACCTGTTGCTTCTGAAGATTTTCTTAGCTATTTTGTTCATAGTTTTTTTATTGTTTAGGGAAATTTTATTGAAAGTAAAGGTTTTACGCGATAAATGCTGAATTTGGCTTAGTTTCATTGTTTCAGGATAAATTGTACCTAACTTGTAAAAATATGGCTAAGATCTCTAATGTATTCTAGTATACTCTATTCTGTCTTTAAGGTAAGTAATTAATTGATACAGGTGAATATGTACCTACGTATGTAAGACGAAACTAAATGTTTTTCACGTGAAATGGCAACTACTTTTTTTCAGTTTGTATAAAGACAATTATTATAGAAAAATATATAATAATAGTCTAAATTTTATTAAAAGAACTTAACAAACAACATAGTTTTTTTGTTCCACTAAAACCTTAATGTTTTTAATGTTTCTTGACAATGTCTAGATCTAGACAATCTGTCACTAATATGTTTTCGTATCTGCTGAACTCGAATCTGAAGTCAGTTAGTCACTAGCACCCACCCAATCCATAAAAACCGCATTATTTTTTTTAAATTAGGAATTATGCTTGTAGCAAACAATCTTGTCTTCAAAAAATCTATGTAGCTAGTTTCTATTTCTCTTTTTATCTATAACCTTACATTCACTTCTACAGCAGCAGTCCGCCATCATCTTCAAGTCCCATTTATCCCGAAACATTTTATCCATTTCCTTTAAATCTTGTAGTAATCCAAGATCCAAGTGAGGGTCCATAAAATGCAGTTTTAGGTTCACTAAGTTCCCTGAAATTTTCCAGCATTTCCGCTATTAGAGTATTATAATTATGACTTTCGTAACTACCCAAAAAAAAAACTGAAGGCACATATTTCTGAAAATTTGCTTAGTGTGATCGATACACAGAAGATTTGGTTCCTTTAGATTTTTCTTTTTTAGTTCTCTAACTAAATATTCAGCTCTTGGTTAACGCTTTTAGTAAACCTTGGTTGCGAATAAGGTCATTAACTCACTCTAATTGAATCCTTCTCAACTTCATCTTCATATTCTTTTGTTATTAGCTTTAGATTCAGTAATTCCCCTTGGTACGATGTTATTTACTTTAATTGACTCTTCTTCCGTAGAATATTGCATTTTTGTGTACCTGTGTAATCAACAAGAAATTTCCTCTAAAATCATTTGATTAATTTGATAGTATTTTTTACAGATTTCGATTTTAATTACATTTCGAAGGTAGACCAATGTAACCCAAATAAAATGCCCCTAAACAAATACTGTTTACACTCTGAACCTGTCTATCACTACAAACAAGATAAACGCAACTAATACACAGATAAAAATACTGCTTACCAAACAATAAACGTTCTTTTTCCCACAGATCAGTCTTTCACACAATTGTTGTGCAGTACGATTAAATGCCTTTGGTTCACGTATCCTCAAGAAAAGGTCAAGAACGATTACGCATGACCGCTTTATAAAAACTTTGTACAGAAAACAGTAGATGTTAAAGATGTGCTGAGTTAATCAACTATCGGCAATATTTATTTTTTTTTAAACTTAGATAAATTCTGCTACTTGCGTACGAAGAAAGTCAAACAGAAATTAATTTAGATGCTATTTTTACGTAGAAAGTAGGTACAAGAATGTTTGGGTTTGTTAAAATGTATCAGATTCAGAGTCAGATTTAATGATTTTCATTATACTGAAACACCTTTGAAAAAATTGCGTTTAAATTAGAACAAAAACTGATTTATTATATTGTTTTTGTTTGATATATTTGTAAATGATACATTGCCTTGAGGTTTGGTCTAAGTGATGGTTAGTAAGTTATCAATGCAAAAAACGTCACTAAATTATTATGTGATTAATACCAACACAGAAATTATTAGTAAATAAACATAAAAATAACGAATTTTACCGTTATTAAGTGAATTAATGGGTAGTTATAAGCGAGGTCATTAAAATATTACAAAAATCCTTCATTTCCTAATCTCTTTGAAGATTTTTTATGGCTTTTACAAAGATTTGTAAGTTTCCAAGAACGGAATTCTTATTATATCTTAGAGTGAAACATTCAAGGTTGTAAAATAATGGTTTACAAGCTTATATTTTCTTTTCTAATTCAGGCAATATTAAACTTCACCTAGTTACGTATAAATAATTAATGTACTTAACAGAAACACCAAATTTGTTTATGTAAGTCGTTAGAAATCGCCTCTCTAATTACTGTTTATTCGAGTTTTTCCCTGCGTAGGCATTTCACGCCAATTACCCGCTGAATCGGACAATTAGCGGAGGCCAATTACAAATGATTCAGACTAATTTCCTACCTGCAACATCCGCAAGCGTCGCACCAAAGACAACCGAGAAAACAACAATAAAATACATTTCACAACACCCGCCTCGTCACCAACCACAAGAATCAGTCGGTCGAACAAAAAAAATCCTCAAAGAACTAAGTTCTCCGGTAAAACATCATCGGATCGGCTACTAGATCAATTAATAAGTCCCGCAAAAACAACAGAGCGTCGCCGTGCAACAGGAGCTGGCGGTAGCTTCAGCTGATCGCAGTGGTCTGTCGTCACTTGATGCGCTTTCGTAGCGGCAGCGGCAGCGGACTGGTGCTGGATCGCGAGTCGCGTGGATTTTAATGGGAAACGGTCGACTGGACTGGCGGAGTAGATCGCGGTGTGCGAGACAGCCGACCGGCAACCACTTCTTGACTTCTTGCAGAAGCAGAGGAGGGGTCGATGATCCGCGGGTCTTCCTGCAGCGGCGTGGGGCTGATCACCCTTCTAATTGCAGTATTTACTTCATTAATATGAAAATCACTTAGAACTATACGGGGTGAACCAGTGACCAGTGGCGTACATTTATGGCGTTGAAATTCCAAAACGTTCTGGGGAAGTTGATGCGTTAGTGCAAATTAAAACAATACAAATGTTGTCTACTATTTTACTGAAACGTTTTGTTGCAGTTTTACATTTTCCAGACTTTTATTTCGAGAAAGACCGACATTTCTACCAATTACAATGATGTCTGGGGTAGAGGGCGTTACATTAGCCGGTCATTCTCCATTGTGACTAAGTGTTTTACCTAGGAAATGGTCCACACTCGAATTTATTTACCTGTAACCTTGATGCACCCTCAGGATGACACTGAGGTTTTCAACTGAACATTATTCCACACTAATGGCTTTTTGGGCATATCAAGTGAGGTTACTCTTGTGTCTTGTGTCGTTAGGTTTTGCCTTACCTGAGTATTGCTTATAGGTTTTTACCTAGCCTAAGAACTTCCATAGATCTTATAGGTTTGTTAAGCCTTACTTTCTACGCTGCAAGCATAGAAAGTCTTGAACTGGTTTGAGCTACAGGATCTTAGGATCTTTGCAGCAGGCACAGAAGAGATTAGACGTCAGATGACTAGTATTGGTTCCAAGTGGTGTCCTCGAAAAAAAATTTAACAATATTCTGTATTGAAAAACATTTATTTCTGTAAATGTTTACAATATACAGGGTGTCTCATAATTAGCTGCCAACCCTGAACAGGCCGATTCTATGATCAAAACTAAGTAAAAAAGTTCATATGAACATGGGTCCGGAAATGCTTCCTAAGGGCACAGGGACCCATTGAAGAGGGAGGAATGGAAATCATTTTTTTGCAATATCTCTCAATCGCGTTGTGATAAATGAATGAAATTTGGTATACACAGCTAAATTTTGATGAGCAATTTGATGGACTAATCCATTTATTTCCACAAGGTCCATTGGGGTGGGTACGGGGGGGCCCTTGGTACTTTGCGTGTGTAACTTTTTCATCTTTGACTTTTTAACAAATTGGACAGCAAATTCCGTTTTCCCGAACTGTTTTACGTTAAAAAGGTACTCTTGTTTCAAATCGTTATCTTTAACGGTTTCTGAGAAAATCGCTCTTGAATTAATCCCACTTTGGTCAATTTCATAGTAATTTAAACAAAAAATAATAATAATAATTTTCCTTTCCTCTCTTTTCCATTTAAAGGATTAATTTTTATTTAATTTAATTTTTTATTATTATTTTTTTATTAAAACTAGATTAAATTGAAACAAAATATTTTTTTTTGTTTAAATTACTATGAAATTGACCAAAGTGGGATTAATTCAAGAGCGATTTTCTCAGAAACCGTTAAAGATAACGATTTGAAACAAGAGTACCTTTTTAACGTAAAACAGTTCGGGAAAACGGAATTTGCTGTCCAATTTGTTAAAAAGTCAAAGATGAAAAAGTTACACACGCAAAGTACCAAGGGCCCCCCCGTACCCACCCCAATGGACCTTGTGGAAATAAATGGATTAGTCCATCAAATTGCTCATCAAAATTTAGCTGTGTATACCAAATTTCATTCATTTATCACAACGCGATTGAGAGATATTGCAAAAAAATGATTTCCATTCCTCCCTCTTCAATGGGTCCCTGTGCCCTTAGGAAGCATTTCCGGACCCATGTTCATATGAACTTTTTTACTTAGTTTTGATCATAGAATCGGCCTGTTCAGGGTTGGCAGCTAATTATGAGACACCCTGTATATATCACGGATATATTGGGTACTTCAATATTTCGAGCGGTTCAAAAACACACGATCATCGCCATAACTTTTCAGAATTGAGTCCTATCAAAGATGTTTTAGATAAAACTTATGCGATATGAAGAAACCAATGTACTGATGACCTTGTATTTGACTTTGACCTTAAGTTTCAGGATCAAACTAAAGTCAACTTAAAAATTTTAAATATAACACTCTATCGCATTTCTTATGTCAGTGTTCAATAGAGCGCCAAATATTACGTACAAGCATAAGGTCAAATTTTTTCCTGTATGTTCTTTGCGCTCACTTGGAGTTCAAGCAGATATGCGCATGCCGTTATAGTATTCACGATCATAAGTTAATAACAATACACAAAATAGTGCCACCATTACTACATATTGAACACACAAAACTGTGCCACTGTGAAAAATTAAACAAATAGACAACATAATACATATGCAGGATGAAGGGGAATGAAAAGTAGGTAGAAAAAACAACTGTACATCAAAGACATTTAAAAATCGCTAATTTCTCATTTCATTCCAATTGATTCCTGTTCTTCGTCGCCCGACGATAAATTACGTTTATTTTTTTACTTTATCTTGGAACTGGCGTATTTCCTGTCAGTAATGAATTATAAATACATGTGTTTGAGGAGGTGTTGACGTGTACGTTATAGATATATGCTCCGGAGACTATATGGTGACCTCCGAACCCTTCATTTACACACAATGTGAGCAATAGCGTTTGAAGGATCGGCTTTGTTTGTAAATAAGGGACTGCCTTTAATGAGGTTTATATGGCGAGTATCTTTATTTACGCTTGTTATACTCTTCAATTTCAAACATAAGGAAAATTCTAGTTTTATACAGAAACAACAAACGAACCCAATACTAATGATTACTGTAGATTATATGTTTTATTAAATCGATGTATTTTTCATTCAAACAATGTATATACTAGTTATTTGTTACTACAATGATTGTATGTACATTATAATAATATAAAAATGAATTACTGCAATGAAATTTGGTTAGGCAAAAATAGTTTATATAAACATAAATCTTGACTGATTTTTTTGGCGAAGATTTCTTTAATTTTCTTAGTAGGCTTAAAATTACCAATAAACAAGGAAAATAAGTAACTTGAGACAATTGCTAAACGCGCATTTAGAAAAATCTTTGAAAGTAACGTTTTTGAAATATAGTAGATATTAATGAAAGTGTCAGTATATCGTTTTGTTCGCCAAATACCTATAACATGTGTTTTATCAAGAATAAAAGACAATTTTAGTAAATAAATTCACTTATAATTAAAAAGTAAGTCTAATTTACATAGTACAATCAGTAAATATTATTATTATATTTGCTACCATCCAAGCTTGAGCTTCAAATATGTTAAACACAGCTTAGCAGTGTCACTACACCATATTGCCATATCGACATTACTGGAAAACACCACAGAGATCATATGAATAAAAAACAAGTTGAAAAAACAAGCAAAAAAAAGTTAATTGATCGAAACATAGTTCAGTCAAATGTATTCCGTTGGAAACTGTTCTGAAACATAACATAAATATGATTTTATTCGAATATCTCGGCAAATTCAGCTCTCCTGTCACTCGGCGATGCAATTTCTAACCCGACTGTACAGCTTGATCTCTGGGTCGACGTCTCCACGCTGCGCCACTGACTTCTTCGTCCGATCCCACTTGTTCGACAAAAGCACCACTGTTTGCGTTCAACGCACGTACTTGTGCCGCATTCGATTTGGATAATATGGGTAAGAAAAAACGAGTCGATCAAAAGAACCAATCAACGCCGGTAAATCACAACAACGGAGATCAGATTGCGGACTACTCAAGAAAAACGATCGCGCACCGATTGGATTTGTTTTTGTTTACGTTTGAAGAAATTCGTACGGCGGGCGGTACACACGCAAGAAATCGCAAGATAAAAAAAGGATTTTTTTCTGTGTACATGTTGCCGATATTCATTTTTATACCTACTCAGGACGAAATTTATTATACATTAATATTAATCCTTTGGCAGGACGTCAAATGTTCTGTTCTTTTAGAGGTTATGCAGTTGAGTGGGAGGGGGAGTAGAGTGGGAAAAGGGTAAGAGTTTACTTTTGTGACTATAAACAAGTGTTTTTACTTAAATTGTGCCCGATAAATATTATTTATATGATTCTGTACATCAGATGTAATGGTTTTATAACATTTTAAAGCATTTTTTAACAATCGGGTTTGTAATATCACAAAAGGCTTTTTTTCGCGAGTGAATATTGGTGAATACGTCCGACTTGTAGTTACTGTTTATATCTTTTTTAATCTTATTTCTAACCTTGTCTAACCTGAACAGATCGCGAAAATGTATATATTCACTATTCAGTGGTGCAGCCTGTCATATAATATGTACTTTGACGACTTTGACATATGGGTTCTAACTTCTAACCAGTAATCATAATTTGTCACCCTTTATTGCTTCCAGTAGTCTAGTGTAGTGGGAATTGGTGTTATCTCACTATATAATATATGTATTTGCTTCAAATAAAACTGAAGGAATATATCAATGCTTTCTTTGGAATATTTTTAAGTGGCAAATTTAAAAAGCGTGAAAAGTATGTAGATTCTGATGTTGCAAGATATGCGAATATTCGACATAATCGTTATCGTAAGAGAATGGAATTTGGTCATTTATGTCAATGGCTACAAAACAGAAATTGTGACATGGCTCTATATTTTTTGATATTTTTGTGGAATGAGGATGATGATGTTCCTTATTTATGTTATAAGTTTAGAGAATCATATCATATATTCTCTATTCCAGAAAAAAATTAAACTAGAAAGAGGTTAGGTTGGTTTTTTATGTAATTCATACGAAAAAGACCTGAATTACAAATGATTCTACCAATATTATCTCTGGCCTAGGTCATAAAAAAAAGAGGATAATCCTGAAGCAAAGTGGATCGCAAATATATCCCATACAGAAAATTAATCTTACCATTAAGTAAAATATTTGCTGTTTCAACGTCTACGTTTACTAAAACATCTGTGCCTCAAAAGATTAAATTTAAACTGACCAC